GAGCTTCTCTTTGGGCTGCTCTGCCCCCTCTTCCCCATCTCCCCAGGGCCCGGGAAGGGTCCTTCGCTGGGAAAGGAGGAGATGTTAAAATTCACCAAAAATCCTTCTGTTGCAGAAAACTGGGCTTCTGGCGGCTGGAAGGGAGTCCCCAAGGAAACAGAAAAGGAAGGCTTTATGCTGTCATTTAACAGCTGTCTCTGAAACTCACGGCCTTGTGTGATTAATCGAGCCGTTATTTCCAAAGGTTGACCACTGTCTAGAAGTTAAAATGCTCTTTGTATGTACTTAGTGGTATGTCGATCATACAAAGGTGACACGGTTAAGCATTTTTTTTTTACATACAGCCCCAGAACCTTAAAATTTTCAGAATCGATAGCTCCTGAACAGGCAACAGGCAGTATTAAAATGTCTTTGCTCCTCCAGATCTCTCTGACAAAGGATTTGGGAACCGTTTCTTATCTCTTTCTTGCACCATTTTCTTACCTATGTCTGTTTTCTGTTTACAAGCCTGAAGATGGCTGCTGCTTCTTCCTGCAGTGTGGAAGAAGATGAGAGCCTGAAGGGATGTGAACTCTATGTGCAGAAGCACAACATCCAACAGATTTTGAAAGAGTGCATTGTAAACCTTTGCATAGCAAAGCCCGACCGACCCATGAAGTTCCTCAGAGAACACTTTGAAAAATTAGAAAAGGTCAGTGATTTTCCGGTGACTTATGATTTTTCCAGCTGAAAAAGATGGTTTGAAAAGTTTCAAATATGTTTGTACATTTTTCCTTTTAAATTTTCAATTATCAGGCTACTGTTAAAAAACAGGCTATTAGAAGGAAAAAAACAACCCTTTCTTTGCTGATGTATACTATAATACTGACTACTGTATAGAATATTTTGTGCATACACCGAGATTATAATTTCCCATCGAACTGCACTTGTTAAAAATGACCCAGTGTATTGCAAGCATGCTTTGTGTTATGATACATGGTGTCCTGAACTTTCATCTATGGGAACAACCTGCCTGCCAGAGCAAAAGATGCTGTTCCCTTTTTATTCCAGTGTCAGGTGACATGGCTTTCCCTTGCCCTAGAGCTGAATAAAATCAGGGAAGAACCAGCAAGCTTTGAAAATCGTTGAACAGTTTGCCATTTAGTTTTACTGCTCACGCCTGTCTGCGCTGCTTATCCCAGGATCCTCCAACAAGAGCTGCGTTCAGAGAGGCTGAATATATTTTGACTGTCTTCAAAAGCGGCGTAGAGGGGGAAACATTTTAAAACATTCTCAGACAAATTCTTACTAAAGCCTGTGGGTCCCTATTGCAGGAGTAGCATGTTGTGTGAGCACAACTTTTCTCTGGGGATGAGATTTCTCCAGAAATAAATGGGAGCACAGGGCTGCAAGTTGTTCGTTATACAAATCCTCAGTCTGCCAGAGACTTTATTCATATACTTAGTTTAAGAAGAGGATTATTTGCTTTTTTTGAAGGAAGCATCTAAAGGTTATAGGCTTAAGATAGGAGTTTTATGTGGTTTTTTCCTTCTAGAGACAGAATTTTGTAAGGACAGAGCAAAAACAATAATAACTAGTGAATAATACATAAAGCTGATATAATACAGGTGATATAAGCATTTTATACATCTCATTATCTGCTTTTCAGGTAAACTTTTGTACAGGTGAATATATGCCAAATTTGTGTAGCTTTGGAAAAATGCAAACATTGCATTTTGATGGAAACCCAGTAAGAATGCCTGGAACATCAGGGAGGGGTAGAAAGTACAAGGTGTTTTTTAGTTGTAATGCCTATTATTAAAAAAAAAACCTCTTAATTCTGCATATGCTAAACTTCTGAGACCCAAGACCCATTTCAAGAGGGTGAAATCTGTTGAATTTCCTTTATCGTGTTACGAATTGTGATCTGTCTTAGTGCGTGCAATTCCAGGCTTCCTGTCTAGAAGAATGGACACCTTTATGCAAAACATATTAAAATATGCTGTAGTATTTTAGAATATTCTCCACAGCTAGTGGGGTTACTTGAGTTGTTGTACCTGGGGGCGTTTGGCTTTATTGGTCTAAACACAGTACATTGTACAAACACAGTAAAGTGTACACACAATTGAGACAGGAAGGCAGTTCCTACCCTTGAGAAATTATATATTCTTTCATGTAATCTCCTGTTATTTCCCAAAGAACAGCACATACCAGAATTCTGTAGCAGGATATTGATCAGGATGCAAACCCAGATGCTGCTGGATATTGCTTGTCACGAAAGGAGATGATTAGAAATACTCAGTCTCAAGGTATCAAATCCAGTGACTAGCATGCTTAGTATGGAAGGAAGCAATCTTGCTAACTCTGTAGAGCAGCCTGGGGGCTAAGCCTGCTGAGTCTAAAGGCTTTAGGGTGCTTCTGGAGGTTTCCAGCACTGTAATTCTTGTTCCTACAGCAGTTTGACCTCCTTGTCCGACACCTCTGAGGACTTTCTTGAGATGGATTGCACTGTGGAGGATTTTCTGCTGTAGGATAATATTTTCACTTGTTCCGTTGCTTAATAACTGTTCAAGGAGGGCTTGTAAAGATAGAAAAATAATTTCAATGAGTTTTACCTTGTTTTTAGAAGACACTTGTCATATATAAGTACTCTGAAGAATCTTAATTGTGAATTTAGCAATTTCCTGTAACAGATTTTTGCATGTGAATGAGCAGTACACTGATATGGCAGGTTTGTTATTAGCTACTTTAATTTTGGCCCTGTGTAGGGAGAGAAATGAAAATCTTTGGGTTTAAGCACAATTTTCTAAACAGAGTCATGCATTTTTCCACCAAAGTGTGATATCTTGGGGTTATTTTCCAAACTTGTTAAAATAGACAACACGTTCTACTGAAGAGAGCAGTAGAATAACAGCGTATCTGTCTAAAATTCCTGTGGGCAGTTTAAAGATGAAGTGTGGATTATTTTTCAAGTGGTTAAAAAAGGAGCTTACGGAAATCGTGTAGAGCTCAATCCACATCAATGTACTGGAGCTACTTCAGAGGTGAATAAAAAAAAAAAGTTTATTTCATTTTGCTTAACTACATGTCATAAAATCAACTCAGAAAAGCAAGATTTTATATCATGTGCAAGATGAGACCAGATCATAAATGCTTTTCATCTTTCTTCTGATGACATCAGAGGTAGGTCCATTGCCTTCAGCCTTCATCTGTGCTGCTAAGTGAAGAAGGGCCAGGGACTAACCCCTGACCCCACAACAGTAACTGGCTACAGATAGACTTCTTAGGTCTAACATGTCTAGGAGCAGGTTTGTTTTGGCAGGAGTGAGTTCAAGCAGCTCAGAACAGAGCCAGGAAATGAGCTAATAGTTGAGGGATGTGGACTGTCTTGGGCTAGTATTCAGGTCTCCGGCTGGGCCATTTTTTATTTCACAGTATAGACATGGCCTGAGAGGGCTGTAAAGTGAGAACATGAATAAATATTACGAATAAAGTGTTAGAGATTGAGGTTTGATGTTTGATTCTGCAGTCATCGTTTTCCACTGGAGAAGTGCCAAGGTTAGAAAGAAATGCCTGATGCGTTTTTCAGTTTATTCGTATCAAGTACAATCTTAAAAAAATTTAATTCTGAGAATAATTGTAGGAGAACTTCAGCAGATATTTTTCTGCTCACTTAATACTGTCAGGACCTGGTTGTCTTAAGATGCCAGTAATTTCTGGGAATCTGCCTAAGTTTCTATATTCTGAAGGTTGCATGTCAGTTTTCGTATGCTGTGACCTACAAACTTCAAGATGACATCTACTCTGATCATGTTAACAGTTACTTTGTAAAAGTCTGTAACATTCCATTGAGCACAGAAAAGAGTTGAAAACAGTTTAAATACCTGAGATTTAAAAAATTATGTAGTGTTTGGAGTAATTTGTTTTACATTTGCCTGTGACTGTATAGAACTTCTTCTTGGTGGATGGGATGAGGAAAACCTTTCCCTTAGGGGTATTAATTGGCTTTTTTAGAGTGGAGGAATAGATGTTAGCTAAGAAACTATGGCATTATTTTAACAGCTGTAATTAGATCTTGTTTACTTGAGGACTAAAGAAGGCAGAGCAGAAAAAACTGAGAACCCATCTTTTATCTCCGGTTCTTACCTTATGTAAAAAAGTTAATTACTAAGAAGTTGGAGGCAGAGCCTTTTGTTTTCAGCTATACCGAGACTGCAAAACTTTCATTAGTGTCAGGCTGTTTAGTGCCATGATTATATGATCAAAGGTGGAGTTGTCTTGCCAGGCTAAGCTAGACTGTAGTTCAGCAGGAAAAAATTACAGTAAAGAGTAGAGCTAATGAAGAAAATGGCACAGAAGAAGGGGAAGCAGCAGGACCCTGCAGGATTTGTTTAGGCATTACCAAGTACTTTGCTGAAGCCATTCTGCATGCAGTGTATTTCAGAGCGGTGGCTTTGCTAGCTGAGCCAGGTGGTCTTTGCTGATACCCTCTGGACCTGAGCACTCTGCTGGGCCCTGCTATGGCCCTGTGCACATACAAGAAATACTGTCTTGTGCATACTGAGCTTGCTGTCTTGGATTGCTGTGGATTGGCAGTGGGTTTATGGACTCAGGCTGATGCTGCGTGTCTTAAGGTACCATCCAAAAAGAGGGTTTTAGAAAAACCGGGGCTTTACCGTCAGTAATTAAATAAAGCAAAATGATATTATCTGCATAGCTCCACCTGGTGATGTTAGGCGGTATTGCACACAGACCTGCTCAGAAAAAGGCTTTCGTGCGACAGATTTGCTGTAAACTAGCACTGAGAAGAAAGTCTGTCATAAACTACAAATTCACTCACTGTTAGTAAAATACAGTGTATTTATTTGTCATAAAGAGTTTCAGAATCAAGGGTATTTCAGCATCAAAATTTGAGCATAAGGCTTTTCTTCTGCAACAGTAGTCTCTCCCAGTACTGACATTTTGTCACAACAAGTTTTTCAATCAATGATTTGCTCCAGAAGCTCCCAAAACAATGAAATTCATTCTTATAAGTACAGGTGATTATGCTAAATACAGCTCATTCCTTTAAGATAAGCGAGGGAGATGTTATGGATTGGAAGGAAAATCCTACGGAGGCAAAACTATCAAGAAAATGCATTAACTAAGCAGTTTGATAAAGACTAATACAACAGATATTTCTGTATCTTTCAAAGCCTGCAAAGCAGACAAGTGGTATCTGCTCGGTGGTCAGAAATGTAGTTGAAGCATGTGGGAACATACCTGAGCTACCCGAGACACTGATAGCAACGCTGTGGTGGGAGCACCGGGTGCCCGTGCTCTGTGTGGCTG